AGTAGCGAGGCCCGCGGGCACAGCTCGGGGCGCCAGGAGAGGCGAGGGCGGCGCTGGGCGGGCGGGAGTTATAAATAAAGACACCGTAAACCACGTCTAGTATCTTTTAATGATAGGAACAGCAACATTTCCGACGTTTCGTGCAAATTTGAAGACATGCACACACAAAACAAAAAACAAACACAAGCGAGAGTTAAGTAGCACCAGTCCGTAATGCAAAAATCGGTGGCCCGACACCTTCTCCAAATGTCCCCAGCATTTCAAAAACTTGTTAGGGTTGTAAAGTTTAGCACTTGAAGTTTAGGGAAATGACAGCCGAGGAACTGCATAAAGGTTGGTCCAATGAGAAAAGCTAAGTCCTGCTCTCCGAAGGACCTCCAGATATCCAAAATTAACACCCTGCTCTGGAAAAAAATCCCAAATCCAATTCCTCCTCTGAGCATCACATATTCCATCATCCTTCTTTTTATAAGGGACTCTCCCTAAACACGTATCACATTTGCGGACTGTAGCTGAGTGGCACCAAAATTCCTGTCCCTCATGAAAAGCCTTCAAATGTCACACACACGCCCTCAAACACATACATGAACTGAATGTTAAAGTCAAAGCAGATTCCTTCTACTTTTTAAAAAAAAACTGTACATGTCAAAAACATAACAAGACATTAGGAAACAGTTAATTGCAGTTACTTTTTTTCCCCCCGTGTATTCACAGATTAATGCTTTATCCTTATTAAAACTACACAATACTTCCTAAGTGGAAATATTTAAAAACCTCATGACAATATAAACACGATTTAGCTGATTTTCAAACATGATTTGAGACCTCTACACACATCTGGATATCACTGTTTCCAATTTAAAATCTTGCATGTTTGATCCTTCTGACAATCAGCATTGGAAAGCTCTCTTTGGCCTACCCTCTCTTCCCGAGACAGATGGGACTCTCCTTCCTCTTTTCAAGGAAAAGGAAAAGGAAGAAGGGGAGAAAAGCCCTGAAATTGGAGGGACAATCAGCACTGACTGAGCAACAGTGCCATTTGCCACTTGCAACACAATGAGGTGTTAACATATGCCAGTAAGCTTGACACCTTCTCCATTTCCTGTTTGCTAATCACAGCCACTGCTTTACCTGCTTTTCAGCACTTATTCGAGAATTAAGCCCTTAACTATACACAAAAGTCCTCTGAAATCACAGAAGCTGCACCTGTTTACATTTCTGTTGAATCTGTCCCAGTTCTTAAGACTTTTCCTCTTGAAATATTTGAATAGAGAAGAAGTCATAGAAAGACTGGGAAATATATGAAATAACCTGGCATAATACTGTTCCTACAGTATTGCATGCAGACAAGTTTTCCATAAATGCAGCAGTATGTTTAAACATAAGGCAAAGACACCGGAGGCCATTACGAAACTTTCATATAGCTCCCTTTATGAAATGCAAGTCCAATTTCTTTCAAGTGCTGTAAAAATTGCTGTAACAATTTTGTTAAGAATTATACTTTTAAAGTGTTCTTTGCTATGATTGTTTATCTAACAAGCTGTTTAAAGAGTTTTTATGCTGAAAGTGGATTTATTTCCAGAGAGATACCGTTAATCTTATAATGGTTCATTGTGCTGGTGATTTAAGGAAAGTCTAGTCTGCTACTTCATATAGTAAGCACTGTCTTTACAATTCTTAGAACAGTAGAATTCCAAAGGCAGATTTGCCATGTAGCTGTAAACAAAGTTTTCCTAGACTTATTGGCAATTTTAAAAGTGAGCTTTAATCCTTTAGGATTTGAATATCCCTGCCAAATTGGAATTTTGAAATCTTAGAAAACTCTTTCCAAACTAATATTCTGGAGCAGTTTGGTAACTCTTCTCCGAGGAAGAGTCAAAATCTAATTCCAACCCAGATTCATCAGAATTTGGGAGAAAATTAGGATAGGAATCCATGTCTGAATGCTGCTTTATGTTAACGGAAGCATGTTTCAAGGTTGAGTGTACGAAGTATGAAGAGTCCCAGAGCCAGCTTTCAAGGTCTGCAGAAGAGTGAGGCATTTTAAGATGACAGTATGAGGAATGAAATTCCACAGTAGAAGGGGCAGTTTGACATTTTCTTAGTGGTGCATAGTTGTCTTTCCTGTTAAGAGAGAGAGAAAAAAAAAGTAGTATTTCAGTGATTTTTCTACTACTGTTCATACGTCAAATTTCAAATGAGGGAGAACACTAGAGGAAAAATAGTCAATTAAATGGTTAATTCTTAATGCATCTAATGAGCTCGAATACATGACAAAAGGAATATATGGCACCCCTGCCATCATGCAATGGCCTCAAAGGTAGGTATAGAATAGTCACCCATCTGCTCTGATAAGTACAGAGGGCAGACTTAGTTTGCAGATCACCTCTTAAATAGTCCTGGTCTTCCCCAGCTATTCACTTGGAATAGTGGGTTACTTATCAATCACAGCCATAACCCAACATTTACAAGTATAATCTCAACACTTACAAGGTTAGTAGGACAGACAGCTGTTCAGATTCCCAGATGCACTCCCCTCCTCACTTTGCAACCAGCTAAATAGCATCAACCGAAAGGCTGACCACAACTTGCATACAGTAGGAAAAAAACACTTAAAAAAAAAGAAGGGGGGGCTTTTCATTCTTTTCCCATCCGAGAAACAGGAAACTGAAGTTATCAGCATGAATACTCAGCCTTTTCCTTCAAATTTATGTCCCCCTGCTTGTCATATTTTTGGGGAAGAAAAAAATAAACAAAAACCCAAAAAACACCACCACCAAAATCCTTCATGGCTATTTCCAATCTGAGGCTTAGAAGATACAGAAGATGATACCAGCCACTAGGCTGAGTATCCTAATAGTATTTCTAAACTGTAACCAGCTCTTTTTTTATTATTATTATTTAAATGAAGTATGATTCCAAAAAAAGTTCAATGAGATCTGATGACATAAGGGGAAGGGAAAAAATGGGGTAGGTTGGAGAAATTACTCTCTGCAAAAACAGTAAGATCTCAATGGATCGTGAAACAAATTACAATGCACATGAAGTAAGAGCCGCCTATAGAAAACAGTGCAGCATTCCACAAAGAAAGCCTTAGGACCAAGCCATCTGAAGAGGGAATCCACTTAAAGAAAGGCTTCAGAAATCTTAGAAGTCCAACCACTTAAACAGCTCAGTGGGAGTTAATCACCCTTAAGATACCATAAAAGCATGCTGCCAGAGCCATACGGCCAAATCTTGTTTTTTTCCCCCCCCCACAAAAAAGAGGAACAACAGTTTTGGCTGATCATCTAAGGACAGAATAATCTCAGTGAGAAGTTAGAGTTGGACCCACTCTGCAATGTTCCTTTCTGAATGTCCACCACAAAGAGTGTCTCAAGACTAGAAAGGTTGGAATCCAAATTAAATGAAGCTACTACACATAAGCATAAGAGCTTATATGGACCTCATTTACTGTGAAAAGGAGTTAGAAACATCGGTAAGGAAAGAAAGAAAGAAAGAAAGAAAAGGTCACAGAATGACATACAGTATTAAATAATTGACAGGGTGATCCTAGAAGGATAATAGGTGGTACTACAAACTCCTTTTTTCTTCAGACATATGGCCTCAAAAACATACCAAGAGCACGTCAAGGTTATAAAGAAAGTTTTAACTCATTATGGAGAGGAAGAGGCTGTTCACATACAAGAATCAAATGTTCCCAGATTCTCAGTACAACTCAATACTGTAAAAAGATATTTTAACAACCCAATATTAAAGTGACTGTTTAATGCTCTCAAAGAGAAAAGGATACCTCATGACTCAAAAAAAAATAAAAAATCAATATTCTATGAAAGTTTTTCTAGCCAGAAACTTTCAGACGGATTACTCCCTACTTCTAAAGGACGTGTCAGAATCCGAACGCTCAAGATGCCAACCCAGGATATGGCAAAACTTCTAAGAAGGCAGCAGAAACAGGCAAGTTCTTCTCAGACACATGCATCAAGTCTGCATTCCTGACTGACTCAGTGTATAGCACTGCCAGGGCAACAAAGATCATCTTTGATCTTCCTCATTATTTATCTTTATTAGTAACAAGAGAAAGACAAACCCCAAAGAACTCTTGGCTCAGATAACAGTAAGCTTTTTTTTTTCTTCTTCTTTTTTCTTTTTTTAAAATCTATAGCCAGAATATAGCCATAGGCTTACTGCAATACCTGCTGCAGCTTGCTGTCTCCAGTGCTACTGCTATGATCTTGGGAAGCTTTAATGAAGCATTACATAATTCTCTGCTGTCCTAAAAGCTTTTCTGGTCATTATCGCTTCCCCTTCTCCTACTTCCTTCTCACCAACTCCAAGATTGAGAGAGTCATTAAAAAATTACTGTAAAATAGACTTGACCCACTCCACTGAAGCAGCTATTTCCAGTTTCTAAACCAAACCTTGAGGGTTCACATTTATAAGCCTTAAGAGAGTCTATGGCTCATAGCACTACTTTGTATGGCTAAGCAACTCACTGTTTCAGACTGAAAGCCTATTTTAACAAGAAAGTCTGCTGCTGCTGGTCACATTCATGTCACAGAAGTTTGCAGAATTCCACTCTGGGCAGTTATCACACTCCCCAGCATAAGGTGAAACTGTGATGGTATTCGAACTGGCGTAAGCTCTCACCAATTCCTCCATCCACACAGCACTGGAAAGATTAACAAAGTAAGAAGTCTGAAAGGCTTGGAGATAAGAAAGGAGTAATGAAATCAGTTACAACCAGGTTACCATAGGGTTTATCTTCCACAGCAACAGACATTTGTAGAAAATTTCTATAGTTGCCTTATTTCAATTCTTCCCAGCTATTTTACAAGTCTGTCCTCCCTACTCATTTTCATCTATTTTTCCACTGTTACAACCTTCTTTGTCCAGGGCTCCTAAAAGCCTAGTCTTCCTCCCCAACTTTTCTAGTTCCTACTCACCACATCTAGTCTAGAACATCTGGAGCAGTTTTTCCACCCTTTTCCTCCCAATTCGTCCAGCTTTTGTGGAGCAAGGCAGAAACAAGGTCTCTGTTCTCAGTTCAGTGCCCATTCTGTAACTTCCCCCCAAAATCATAAGCCTATCTGGAGGCAACAACTCTTTACCTATCCAAAGCAGTCACTAATCAACGAAAAATAAACTCCAGACAATATACATTAGGGAAAACAAAACACTAAGGATATGAAGGAGTGAAAAATGTTTTGTATCATCCTTGAGAAAATTTTAAGAGGGAAACTTGCCCAAACTTGAAGCTTTGGCTAATGGAAAAGAAATCTCAGAATGCATCATTTGCCTGTAGCAGTACAGCAGCTTACCTGAATGCACAGAAGAGCTTGCTTTTAGCCCTGGAATAAACTGTACCAGCAATCTGACAAAGCTGCTCTTGCATCCATCGAACATCATCAGGAATGTCAGGAAACCAGTTTACTAACCTACAGTCAAAAACAAAACACACACATTGTTTCATAAGCAAGAGAGCTCACATGAGGCATGTTCTTATATTCCATGCCCAACTTTCAAAAACAAAAAAAGCAAAACAAACAAAAAAAACCCTCACAATTTCTGTTTTCCCCAAGTTAACTCCTCCAACAAACACAGTGCCCAGGTCCTCCCTCTGCCACAATGCCTCTATATTTCTGCCTATCCTTCTCATCTCCCTTTTATAATCTAAGAAAAGATTGCTTGAGTGTATGAGGTTTACACCCAACTCTTAGGAATTCTGAAAAAAAAAACCCACAACCCTCTCATCACAGTGCCTTCTCTATGTTGGCTGGAACTGGTTAATCGGCTTAAAGTTATGGCGGAGTTGAAGGAAGAACAGCAGGATAGGGGGAAGAAAGGAAAGCAACACAGAATAATGTCACAAGTGTATTGTTTCTCCTTACAAAATGCTCTTAAGAGAATTCAGCCCCACTGAAGAGGAAGGGAGCAAAGCCTCACACAAAAATCCTGTTGAAACTTGCTTTTTTTCCTCCTCCCTCCAAAAAAGGCAAAGCAGCAGAGAAACAAGATAGTTTATTATCTGCTATTCAAACTGCAATGCTCTTAAGCAAGCACTCAGTTTAGGGTTCATGACAGATTAATTTGTCTTGTACAAGAGTTAGAAACCTTGTAAAATTCATTCCAATTTTGAGAGTACAACTCTGAGTCAACCTGAGCAAACCTGATAAGAAAATTTACACAGTGAGTAAATTACTAGATTTCACTTCCGACTTCAAAAAGAAGGTACAACACAAGCACTACCTGGGTGAAGTTCAAGAATATAGTAGTTGTAAAGAATCTGCTCCCAGAAAACACACTTAAGGCTGTTCCTCCCCCCGCCCTGCTCTCTATCGGTTAGAAGACAGCTATGACTAGGTATGCGTGAAGTTTTTAGAAGTCGTTCTTACCGACCCTTACCGTAAAGCAACGGAATAAGCAGACTCCACTGGTAGCGTATATGGCAACATCAGGTAGGACATCACCCGCATTGGGAAGAGTTTAGACACCTGGGCATAGAATCCACTCTGCTCTTTACAAGCTTCTTGCAGTGCTAAATGATAACATATTTTTTTCAAAAAACTATTAGACTACTTGAAAACTTTCCAAATAATTTGGTTTGGTAACCATTAGTCTAATAAATATAACCAAGTATTACTTAACAAGGATCAGATAGAGAATAGAAAAAAAAAAAAATCTCAAGACACTATCAGAGTAAATCTTCTCTAAGCTACTTTAAAATATGGTAAGTATTGACTCGTCCTACAAGGACAAAAAGACATTCCACAGAACCTTTAAGCAATAAGTCTCAGAAATAATTTATTATGATAAGATATGAAGTTCAGTTTCCCTAATAATTATGTACTTTGCACAGCATCCTTGCCTTTTCATAGGCTGCAAAACTCAAAGGAGGTCGCTTAAAAGCCTAGAGTGCCACACAGTTGAGTCATACATACTGTTTCCAGAGACCACTTGGCATTTACAAAAAAAATCTAGTTAAAAGGGTTTTTTTGTTGTTTTTGTTAGTAAAACATCTTAATAAAGGACACAAAATTCAGACAACTGGAAATCTACTGAAGCCTTGTTCAATAATAAAGAGCATTTAGATTTGAGATTCACCTTTGTCATGAAACAAAGGATCATATACAAATACTACAATATACAAAGCAGTGCCACAAAATCGAATGAGAATTCAAGTTATAACTCTATGGTATTGAAAAGCAACTTCTTCCTTTTGTTTCAGGTGTAGCATTTGTTCATTTGTGTAGCTAAATCAAGCTGTACATCTAATAACTATGTAATGAACTTTTATGGGTTGAGCTAGTCTCTAACAGAGATTTACAAGATTAAATAAAAAGCTTACTAGTTTAACCTAAGAAGAAAGCAAAAACAAACAAAAACCCCCACAAACATGCACACACACACACACACAGAGTTTGCCATTCAAAGTTACTTAAAATAGCCTAAAGAACGTACCTTTACGAAGCCTGGGAGGAAGACTGTCAAATATGCTCTTGTCTAAAGGCCATGGATTCTGCTTCAGCTGGTCGTTAAGCACTTCAGCTTTCAGAGTTTCTGTTCCATTACTTTCTGACGTAGTTTTCTTGTTTACATGGTCAATGCACTGCACAGCCTCCTGAGGACTTCTTTTTGTGAAGGACAAGGTGACATAAATTGGGTCACTCAGAATACCTGAAAGAGTCAAGAACTTCCCCTTAGGGCAGGCTTGATGCAGAGGACTGCAGAATACCTTAAATCGGCCTGTTCTGAGGCAACTTTATCTATTCAATATCAAATAACACTTGGTCTTACAACCACAAATGTTTAAACATATACATGAATACTTTTTTTTTTTTTTTTTTTTTTTTGCAGGTCTAGGTCCCATTTTAAAACAGGTTCTAAAGAAAATGAAAAAAAAAAAAGAATAATTAACTGAGATTGCACTGGATACACAGTCAGTTACCAAAGTTGTTTTCTAGCAAGAATAGTTAAAAAAAAAAAAATGCAATTTCTATGTGACAGCACAGGTTAATTTAGGTAAATGACTATATGATTTCTGTCTATTCAAATTCAGAAGGAACACGCAACTTTTTCAGCTATCCCCTATTACCTACACACTTTCCCTCCCGTCCACTCCTCTTTTTTTTTTTTTTTTTTCAAATCCAGGTTGAAGTCACGTTATCAATGTTAGCTACAGATGTAACATACCATTCTCTCTTAAGAATTTAAGAGCATCTGAGTATCCTTGCTCACAGATCTCTCCTAGTACCTGCAAGCACAGGATAAATGAGTCAGCCAAATGAAAGGAGATTCCACTCAAAACACTTTACAGAATGAAAAGCTGCCATGCCCAATGCCCTCCATTCTTGTAAAAAATAGTACATTAACAATTGCCGTAATACAAAACACATTCAAGTTAATGTACCTACTGTGACCCAAATGCATTCAAACTTGTCTTTCAATCTTCAGAGATGCACTGAATTATTCATCTAAAAGGATGCTAATTCTAACTGTATTAGGTCTGCAAGAATTTCCTCCTATTCTGTTTCTTTGATTAGCCTTTTTTTTTTTTAAATCAGATAGAAGTAACAATGAAGCAGAATGGCTTGGTGGAATATGTCAGTTCCCTTCTTCCTCCCAGTCCTTCCCATCTCCCAAAACTATAAGTCAGCTGTGCAATTCTCATGCTCCACTTCAAACTTATGTCTTCCATACAAAAACATCTTTTACCAGATGTAACACCAGTTCACTTACTAATGTACATAATAGTCCTAGACAAAAAAAAGAACAACACATTTAAAGCCTACATAAGTAGAATTTATCATTTCTCTTCAAGTGATCAAAAATTCGCATTTTAAAAATACATCTACAGCAGTCAGGAACATTACTTCTCCTCTGCAGTACATCCCAAGCCAATTGGAAAAAAATCTTCTCCTTTTTCTCTAGATTAATCAGCTGCAATTCTACAGTATTTTCCTCATCAATGTTATAATTAACAGTGCTCAGCAATTTATTAATTCATAAGTTTACAGTAAAGCAGCTTTATAAACTCTATCAGATTGTGAAGTACCTGATTAGCAGATAAATATAAAAGGACTATAAATGCACAGTCATTAGTCTACCAGTATTGCTTTTATGATATATTCCTGTGCCAATTTATAAATAATCAGAGAAAGCCATTAGGCTTGGACATATACTTTTAATCCAAGGAATATAAAAAACAAGAATAAGGAAAGACTAGGAATAAAACAAAAATAAGGGAAATGTCACCAGAAAATTAACATCATAGATAAAATTCTAAAATTACTGCAGCTTTCTGCAAAAGCAAATCTTTTGTATGAATACTGTATTATGAACCTCATGAAGTCTGCACATTACCTTAGGTTCTGGGATAGAGGTTCCCCAAACTAAACTGAATGCTAGTGTTGGTCACATTCATTTCATGGAAGTTTGCAGAGTTCCCTTTTGGGCAGATATCACACTCCCCAGCAAAAGGCGAAACTGTGATGGTATTCTTGGACTCGTAGTGAGGTAAGTTGTCACTGATTCCTCCATCCACATAGCGCTACAAAGATCAGCAGAAGCAAAAAAAAGATTGAAATTTAATTAGTGAATTTTCCATTTAGGAATTAAATAGCATTTAAGGTTGTAATAAAACAGTATTGCCCTAGGTTCGAGCCAAGCATTTACGGTGAAATAGTTTGTCCCTGACAACAGTTAAAATAAATTCCTGCCTATAGTACCATAGACAGCCTAAGAATATTCTCTTTGGGATTTTTGTTTCTTTCTTAAAGAAATGAAAAAGTCCACTTCAAGGAGCATAACCCTACACAACATCCATTCTAACAAGTTAAGGTCTACTGAAGTATTTCCTGCAAAAAGGAGAACAAAATTAACTTACACTTGAAGCAAAAGTAATTTGATACCAAACCACTCAGAATAAGAGTTACTTGGAATTACTCTTCAAAATATCATCATAAGTTTTCAGACAGGAAGAGACTACAACTAAATATGAACAATGCGTTAGGTCATGGATATCTAATCCAAGTGCAAGTTTAGAAGCTGTTTCACATTATGCTTTATATTCCCTTAATTTTCAGGGACTCATTTATGTAGTTTTAGCGCGTCACCACCCCAGACATATTTTAAAATGCAGGGACTGAAGAATTCCACATTGGGATAATAGATTTTTGGTGCAGCTGATTTAACTGTTGTGGCCAAAGATAAGTCTCAAAGACTCGTTGAGCCACTTGCAGGAACCTTCTCTGCAGTGGCACCAGTTTCAGACGGTTTCTTCTGAGAGCGGCAAAACACCTCTCCTTTCCACCAGCCTTACTTTTTAGTGGCTGCAGTTTCTTCCTTCCTACTTAGGAACCACAGGTCCTTGTGAATTAAAACGTTGTTTTTAACAGGAGGAACCTTGATTATCAATTTTGTCTGTTTTTTTTAGAGGGTTGAATAGCACAGCAGGTAACTGCTCTACACACGTAAGCAGTTTATACTTCTTCTGATGTTTCTGCCCATCAATTCTCTCTAATTTTTGAATTTTAAACCACTGCCATGTTTGAAGGGGTAAACACACACCCACAAACTTTACAATTAGCTATTAGATAAAGGAGAAACTACCCCAAACTGAGCTCTGCTTACCATAGCTAGTGAGGGAAAGACAGGTAGCTCTCAGTCACTCTGCTTAATAACAGCACCCTAGCCAGGCTGGGCAGGCAGCCCATGACATATCACAACATGACTGCCTGTCACTAAAGGCAGGAGGGAGAAAGACTAGAAGGAGGGAGAGAACTGGCGTGTTGGAGAAAGACCTGAAATAATTGGCCTGAAACTAAACTACAAGAGTTTTATGTGACAGATAAACATTTTCAGACAGAAAAACACCTGTTTTGATTTTGCTTACATTTACTATGTTATTGCATAGAATGCAATGTGCACAGGAAGAAATTGCTCTAAAACCACTCTGATTTTTTCTTCTTTCTGCAGTTAAATGCAGACAATTAAATAGCTGTATCCTGTACTGTTACATATTACTAGCATTATACAACTAGGTGGAGTAACCCTCAAAGCTTGATTTTAAAGCATAAATGCATGAAGAACCAAGCTAGCTCACAATAAGATGCTGTGGTACTGCAAAGTTTAAATATCTGACATCCTGCTGTCTTTAAGTGCTACAGGAGTTACACAAAACATATGCAAGTGTGGTATTCTTACTAGTTATGATAAAAAGAAACTGCAAGGTTTTCTCATCCTCCTACATATTAAAATCATATGACAATCATTGCAAAGGTCAAATGGATATAGCGAATCCTTCTTCCACCCTTAAGACCTGAGCAAATACATCCTCGCTTGTATGTTTTTGTAGTCTGAACTAAGCCTTTTAAAATAACATTGTAGTCTGGTGACAAGAACTCAATAGGCAGATTAGCCTGGATCCACCTAAACCTTGGATTGAGTCCAATGTCCTGTTTTCATAACACCTTTAATCTGAAAGAGTTTAAGAGGGCACACAAGATTTGGAAACATAAATAAAGACAAATCTTTATACAGTTCTACTCATTTCTGGCTTTATCTTTAGCATGAAGAAAATACATTTCATGCCTATTCTTGACTTTTTCACACTTTCAATCAGCCTTGAGAACACCCTGTAATAAATCACTAGTAAGGATGCATTTGAATTTTACTTCAATACTTTTCCCTTCTTATTACCTAAGGAGCAAAGTTGGCAGGAAAGCAAAGGTAAATTAATGCAACATCATAACAAAGAGTAATTAATCCTACTGCCTTAATATGAAACACACATATGCTTACAGACCTGTTATTCAGAATACCTGCAACAAATTACAGTTTAACTATTCTGCAGACATTGCTCTTCTAATGTGAGATCAGGTAAAACCCAGTATAATAATGAAGTATTAAGAGTATTAAGTAAAAATGAAGTATTAAGCGTTATTTCTTTTAAGCAATGGAAGAGACCATCACATTGATTCTTCACCTTTAAGAAGCAACCTTTCTTGCACTGGATGTAAAGAAGGATCATAGCAGAAGACATTAAAGAGGCTGACATAACTAATTGAATACGGAACTTAAATCCACTTTTAGGGTAGAAACTATATAGTGCAAAAATAGACAAATTACCCTACTTACAAATTTATGCAGATGAAGCACCACCACTAACTCTTGTTTTACTTTAATATTAATCCTTAAAATCTCTCACTATTTTCTTAGCTTAGACAACCCTATTCACTGCATCAGAACCACATGAAATTTAAGGGGACATTTGCATTTCAGGGTGGGAAATGGGTGTATAGAACAAACTTCCCATTTCCGACACATACCCTGTTCGCTTATCCTTTTGTAAGGCTGTAATAAACAGCTGCTGTAGCAAATGCCCTGATAAAAGTATTAGTTTTATACAAGAAAAAAAAAAAAAGCAAACCATCTTTCAGTATTTATAGCATATCTAGAGATACTTTCGCAGCATAACAATAGAATATAGACTTACCACACCTCTAAATGATGGTGGAATTAGGCCACAATAAATAGGAACAAATGAACTACAGATTAAAGCCTGTGAAGAAATGAGACTGTATGTATTAAAGGGTAATTGTTATTGGAAGTATCATCTATCTGTGTTTTCCTATTTAAAAAAATCAATAGTCTTGAGAAAACACTGTTGACATAAGATTAATTCAAATGTGATCTCAGAAACTGTTTCAGATCTACCCCTCCATTCCATGTCCCAAAGTACTCCAGTCTGCCACTTTACAGTGTTATCTTCAGAGTTAGCAAAACCTGATCAAGCAGGAAAAAAAGTCCCTAGCAAGTGCCTTTTGAATAGAAAGCAAAAATAAATACGTAAAATAAGTTAATATCAATCATTATTTTAAGATGAGGGTAGGGTATTCCTTTTTTATTATTATTATTAACTGTGAGGGTGACAGAGCAATGGAACAAGATGCCCAGAGAGGTTGTGGAATCTCCTTCTCTGGAGATCTTCCAAACCTACCTAGATACAATCCCATGCAGCGTGCTCTATGTGACCCTGCCTGTTCAGGAGGGTTGGACCTGATGATCTCCAAAGGTCCCTTCCAACCTTAATCATTCTGTGATGCTGCTTTAATTAATATAACCACATTTCATCTGAGTAAAAATAGATGTCCAACCTTAATCATTCTGTGATGCTGCTTTAATTAATATAACCACATTTCATCTGAGTAAAAATAGATGAGACTTTTAAAAAAAAAAAAAAAAAAAAAAAAACCCCAAACCCCACCCCAGGTCAAAAAAAAAAAAAAAAAACCCTCACACTCACGCAGAGTTCACAGAGATAATATCTGGGAAAACTAGTATGTGAATACAGCACAACTACCTTCAAAATACTGTGAAAGTCACAGTATTCTAAGATAGATCATACTAAATGGACTTAAAATAACTTAGAAAGTTGTCATATGCAATAATTGGAAATAAACATACCTGGACAACTTCTTCTTTAGAGTCAAAATTAGATATCAATGCGTTTTTACCATCTGACACTCTGGTTAGTGAAATACACAGCCGGCCTGATGACAACAGATGAGTGTTTTCTGGAAGATTTCTCATTAGTCCATCTCTTATTATCTTTATCACATTAAATGAAGGATGAAGGGGACCAAGATTTCGCTTTCTAGCTTCTTTAGCTAATGCCAGAACATCGGCACATGCTTCAGCTGAAAAAAAAAAAAAAGCACATCATTAAGAATAGAAAATGGTTCAACGAAACAAAACACAATGAAACAAAAGACCTCTAGATTTTCAAGCAGATAGAACTAATTTTGATGAAGACCCTACCACTAAGTGAATGCTTATGATATTTATATTCATATGCTTATGATACATACATGTAGATTGTGGATGTAAAATAACTATGTAAGATGTTTTCATTAGCAAACATTAATTCCAGAAGCATGTTCTTTAAGGAAAAAAATGAATAGCCTTCCAAAAAACACAAACCATTAGTATGTTCTATATGCAATATCCATGAAACCTAGAACCTATTATAAGCAGATTTAAGGCTCACAGTGTCTCTGCTGAAGAAGCAAAGGACTTGGGTTTGTCACATCCAGAGACACTTGTTGGATTTTAACTCATCTACAATTTCCAGACATTGTAGGAGATACTCATCTCCATTTATATATAATCACAATAAATGAAATAGACATTAAAATGGAATTTATTATGGAACAGAATTGTAAGAAGGAAATCATTAGCTTTAGGAGCTAGATCAAACCACTACAGAGTAACAGAATAAGCAGTTCAGAATAGTTTCATTGCTCTTCAGGAACACTCAAACCTTTAAAAAACAAAACAAAACAAAAAACACTCCTCCCCCATCAAAGTTAAAAAGAATATTATCTTTTCCAACTGCTCTGTTTTGTTTAAATATTTAAAATTACTCTATCTTGTCTCTCCAGGGCATTCTTTGGGGATATTGCCTAATAAACCGATCTGCTTGATGGAGGGAGCAGAGAGAGGGAAGGAAGGTCAAAGTAACCGGTCATTATCCAAACTGATATGCTGCAAGGTCATCCAAATATATGTCCAGAACATGCATATTTTAACTGACATACCTGATTTCTAAAATAAATAGAACTCAGCTTACTGAACCAAACATGAACTAGTGACACCGCGCTAGAAATTATTTTGCTTAAGCCTCAGAGTTGTGATTATTTTTTGAAAATATTGTCTTTCTACAATGTCATTTTTAAGTGGTGTTATCTAAAACTTTCTTATTCTTCCCTCACCTAACCAACAACTTCTGTTAAAAAGAGTATCTTCAAATAAATACAAAGTAATCTTTTTTTTTTTCTCTCTAAGTATAAAAGCATTTGTTTATTCTACCCTTGAGGAGGAAAGTCTTCAGCCATGATTACACTGACACCCGGTTTCCACCCCAGAAAACAAAAGATTTAGATGCAATTCACTGTTGAAGATTAAGTATATGTTTATGTTCGTAAAACACATTTGGCATATAGCTGAGAAAAATGGCTCAAGTCACACTCAAGTGAAAAAGTTATTTTCAAAAACAGCTATGTAGGCAATTGTTGCAAGCCTATTACTGTGCACTCAGATATAAATCTTTTGTGTATATATATACATATATATATATTAGTTTTTATAAGCATATAACAAACTAATTTAAAAATGTTAGATCTTCTTAAATGTCTGAAGACAGAAATCAGGCCCATCTCAGAATTTGCAGATGTTTGAGACACTGTATTACCAGACCTCTGTTCAGAAACAGCAGCCTTACTAAGTACAATATCTTCTTTCTGCAAAAGTAAATATGTTTTCAAAAACTTCTGCACTAAGTACATAGGCTGCAGACACTAAAAAACAGAACGAGTAGCACTGGGTACATGGGCACCTGATCAAGCAAAACACATGGTTTGCCAAAATCTGCCACAGTTCTCTGCCAAAATTTAATCCTGTTCTTCTGACTGGAATCCTTTGAAATTTCACGGCAAGATAGGAAGCATGGTAACAACTGCACTCATCTGCACTGCAGCCCTATTTCTACCCAGAAGGAAATAAAGTAGACCAATGTCCTCTACCAGTCCTGTGGTATGACTATTTATCTCACTGTAAACATAGTCAGGCAAGTATCAGCTCACTTTATTTATCCAATTAAATAGCTGCAAAACTGATGACCTCTAACAACTTAAGATTTGAACTTCCCTTCTATGAACTTCATTTCTGAAAATAGCTGCCTATCAAAATGAGGTTTGATTTCACATATGTTCCACACATAAGAATTTCTATCTCTTCCTTTCCTGTACTTCTAAAATCTGAAGCTCAGGAAAAAAGAAATATATATATTGTTGGAATTAATGTTATTCAGCCTTTGGGGGGGAAAAAAAAAAGGTTGTTTTTTTTTTTTAAAAAAAAAATCAAGTCTACATATTTTTTTGTAATCCATTCTCAATATTAGAAGTAATCTTAAGCAGAAAAAATACTGTATTTCTTTGAGATTATGTGATGTTACAATACTGAAAATTTTATACTTTATTAATTCAACACTATGAAGTATTCTACCTTCCTTTGCTTCTCCTGCCCCTTGGTTTTCCACAGAATAAAATCTTAACTAATATATAGCTACACACACACACCTCCTGTGCTTCTCAGTGCAACTTTAAAAACAGATGAGTACAGCAGCAAAACAATCTTATCTCCCAGATACCTATTGGGAAGATCTAAGAGAGTAAAGTGTATCTTAACAGGTTCAGCTTGGAGTAGCCTAAAACATACATCATCCTCAAGAGAACAGCTATCTCTAACCTTCTCTCTTCACCTTCTCTTGAACTGAATGACTGAAGTGTCTTCACCTAGGAGAGCACAATTTCTTTCAACTCAATGGCCAAGGTTCACATGAAGCCAAGCATGAAATTCTAGACAGTGTAATTTTACCCATCCAACAGCTAAAGAAAGCACAAAAAAGTGCTTTACTTAAAACTTAGCTTCAAGCCTTGAATAGATGAAATACTAAGTCAATTTTAGTTTTTAAAAACAAAATCTGTACATATATACATACACACACACAGAGTTTTGTGGGGGGAAACAGACCAAATAAAATATATCATTTTTTTTATATCACATAATGTTTCTTTAGAGTTTATTTGTAATTCTCTGCTTTCACCAAAGTATTTTTCTAACTCACAGAGAATGAACAAATAGAAAGGTACAGACTTAACATGGGAATATCTTCTTTTCTTGATGACTTGACAATGATTCACATGTTTTTGAAGATATTTTTAAAGCCAACTGCTTCCAAACAGAAATATTCACAAATTCTGCTCCCTGCCACTCCCATCTTTACCCCCCACACACTTTTTTTTTTTAAAAAAAAAGTTTTCATAAGGAAAGCATCTGTCCATAAAATACAGTATTCTGGGTAGTTATCACACACCCACTAGGAAATCTATTATTTATAGAAAATCAAAAATCCCAGCCAGCATATAGAGAAAGACCTGGATTAATTTATTAAAGTTTGCAGACATACTTAAAATTCTGAAAATTTAAAAAGCTGTTCATATCATGTACTCTCATGAAAAAAAAAATACACACACTTTTTCTGCTTAAAAACACTTTGAATATTTAAAACAGCTTCCAAGTCTTCTTAAATCACTAATTTGAAGTCTAAAAATGGATACATACTCAACAGTTACAAAGGATAAATATGTTCTAAAAGCCTATACTGGGCTTAAAATGGCTCATTCAAGCATATTATTTTGGTACATTTCAGCAAACTTAAAAGTCTAAATAGTATAGACATTGCTAAGGCTTTGAAGAAATTAAGGTCAAGTGAGAGAGAGATGAGTGGCTACATAGCAGGAATTAGCATTTGACAGCATAACTGTCTTCCAGGTACAGAAAGCTTTTCGTCATTTTATTTTAATCAATGAGTAGTTCCCTCAGACGTTAAAAACAAAGAAAGTACTCCCTAAATTCAAAATAAGCTGTGCATTTTCCTCTTCTGATCAATGAATAAAATAAAATCTGAATTTACAAGATGCTGTAGTCCCAAATGCCCTACAGGCACTGCCAAGAAAAGCCATGAGTTTGAGTCACTAACTAGCCAAGTCCTTATTCAGTGAATGTTTGATTTATAAGGTAATCATTTTAATTTTATATATTGTTTGCAGTTTAGTCTCTGCCTTAAATAGCTTGATATTTTACTTGTATCAAGATGCTTTAATGCCTAGCATGTCTAATTTATTAGCCAAATATATATGTTCTGGTTCTCCGAAGCCCTAGTTAGGTGAAAGTAAGATATACTTTTCCTATTGCTAGACAGTAAATGCTTATTTCACCACAGAGACTATATTTAGTTCAAAATTGACATATTTCATTAAAAATGCCCTATAAATACAAAGTAAGAATAAATATATTACTTAAACTCTGATAAAAATTAATGATTTCAATCAATCCATTCAGTTTCTAATCATATACCTAAGTGACCTATGGAATATGCACTGTGCACAGATTAAAGAGGAAAAGCATGTTAAAGCTAACCTAAGCCCTGACTAACTCTTTAAACCCTACCCCAAGAAAGGAGAAGCTTTAGAGGAAGCAACTTAAAGCTAACCGAGGGCGTGCAAAGACATAAAGAAGAAATGCATTTATTACTTCCCAGCAAAGTATAGGCACCCTATGTCAAACCAGGGCAGGCAAACTACTGCTGTCGAAGGGTGCTGTGGTTCAGCCATTCTGCTCTCCCTACAGTTTTCAATTCCTCTACTGTACACACAGATAGAGCAATAACTGTCATCAACCCAGTGTTGTAACCCTGAAGCGAGGAGGATGGCGAGAGCTTTTTATGGACACGCACACCTGTCGCTGCACCTAGGAGCAAACCTGGGCACCTCTGACCACTCAAGTGTTGAAACCTGGCACGGAACTGACAAAACCACACCTTGAGCCCGCAAAGTTGCCAAATACCCTCTTTGAGGCGCACTAATTTCACCACCTGTCTCTTCCTCCCCTTTGAGGAAACACGCATTTGCCTTGCTCAGGGGTAAGATGGGTGGTGGGATAAGAATGAAATGTAAGCAAATAACGATTAAAAAAAAAACAGAAAAATAATGAAAAAGACTAGAGGAGCTAGACAGGAGCTAGAGTCACCCTTCTCCCTTGCGGAATAGCTTGAAAGCAAAAGAAAACAAAACCACATCTCAGTT